AAGGCAGCGCCACTTCTCACACAACGCATCAATCAATGAATTTATTGAGAGAACACTTCGGTGAGCAGATAATTTCACGTTTTGGGCCGATCGATTAGCCACCAAGACCGTGTGATATCACACCGTTAGGCTTTTTCATGTGGGCATATGTAAAGTCTAAAGTCTTTGCGAACAATCCCGCTTTGATTCAGGCTTTACAGCAAAGTATTATCGAAAATTGGACTCAACGGATGGACTATCTGAGACCCAGCCAGCATATGAAAGAGATTTAATAAATAAATGCCAAAGTATGTTCTTTCGAATAATAATCAACATTCTCCATTAATTTTGAAGTTTCTGTGTTTTTTCTTTAAAAAAATAGGAACCTTGAAATGGATATCTGCTTATAATAATTTTTATAATTCCAAACTTTTTCCTGCGTATTAAAATGTTTGCGCTCAACTTATTGAAACTTTAGTGCTGCATATACATACATATATACCGACATATATATACTTAAGTAATATATATACACAACAATACAGGCATGGTCTTCAGTTTACTCTAAATAATCCAATTAATATTTTTCCGCTTTCATGCAAAGCAAGAAATTATGAAAACAAAGCACTGCAACAACTGAAAACAGCATTGCTTAAGTGGTAAACATTATCATGAGTTATTAAAACAAATATGGTTGCAAAAGCAAAGGCAAACGCATGAACAAAAATGAAGTGTGAAAACGCAAAAAGGATTTTTCTATCTACCTGACTATGCCATATATATATAAAACAGGTGAGTTTGAGCGTTTTCTCTATACTTATATGTTTGTATGCCTGCCTGTTTGATTCATTTTATGAACATGTAAATGCATTAATTTTAATATAACATAAAAACTTATTTGAATCGTATGTAAATATTGCTCAAAGCGATGCTTATGATTGTAAGAACTTTTGAGTATATTCTATTTAAAATCATTTCGATGAAAATGGCAAAAAGTATATTTGTGAAAAATAAAAATTGCAATCTACTAAAATTAAAAGCATAAAAGCATTGGCCGATAAGCACATATAATAATAATATAAAGAAGCATGTAAGCAAGTGCTAAGTTCGGGCGCAACCGAACATTTTATATTATAGTATTGAGCCGATTCAATCCATTTTTGATACACAGAGATAGAAATACTATTGCCGGGAAAAGATTCTCTCTGAGTTTCAATTGCATAACCCCCGCATTGAAAATTATTTTCAGTCGTAGGTGAACTATAGATACTGGGATCCACATATTCGGTGTCTAGGGGCTTGTTTTGGTTCGATTTGGGCCCATTTTGGTCATATGTTGGCATACTGAAAAGTGAAAAATATGATTTTTACTGACTTAGCAAACTTTTAAATAATCCTTTTTTTTGCAACAGTCAATATTATGGTTTTGTTTTAAAAAAAAATCGCTTTATTTTAATTAAAAAAAAAACAACTTCTAAAAATTTATTATAAGAAAAAAATTAAAAAAATTAAAGCAACATTACACATAAAACAATAATTTTTGGTCTCTTATA